CACGGCAGCACCTCGGTGATGCACGAGCATTTAAAAAGAAAGCATGTTGGGCACTTAAATGAAACGGAGTCTGACTCGCCTCGGTAAGATTTAAGCAACAATAATGCTAATATGTTTTGTCTTTTATGTACGTTATACATTTTCTAAGCGTTTTTTCACTTTAAAAGAGAGCTTTAACGTTATGCCTGACAAACGCATTCTTATTTACGTTTTGTATCGGCTGCAAAGTTGAATAAAAGATGCATTTTTCATTGAAGTACCCATTTTTCTTGTGCTTACCATTTTCCACTTAACTAAAGCAACTTTATGCTATTTTTAAGAAAAAGTGAATAACTATTCGATTAGTCGACTAATCGTTTCAATAGTCGGTGACTAGTCGACTATTAAAATAGTCGTTAGTTGCAGCCCTATTTCAGAGAGACAATCACTCTCTAAGTTGCACTTCCTTTGTTTCAAAATAAAAGGCACAGTTAGCTTGCGTGCCATAACTTGAACTATGTAGTCCATGGTGTACTTTTCTTCTGCATTGCATCGCATCGTATTGTATCGTATCGTACTGTATCGCAGCATTTTAAATTTAGATCGTTCTGTATCTCACCGGATCGCAGGAGGTTGGAGAATCGTATCGAATCTTATCACTAGAAATTCCATGAATCGTGAATGTATCGAATCGTTGGCTGTGTATCGAGATGTGTATCGTATCGCCTTGGTGGTGAAGATTCCCATCCCTAGTGTGTGGGCTTCATACAGATGACCACCCTGACCCCATGTCATCATATCAATGCAGCAGTGCCCTGGCCAATGTATCAAAATACACAGCTTAACAAATCTATTAGATCAGAACAAAAGAAAAATGTCTCTGTAAAAAATCTTTCAGAAACCCGTTTAAAACTGAACACCTTCTACTATACTTTTTTACCCATTGTCCTGGGTCCCACAGATTAAACTTCGGAGTGCCACTTGGGCTTTGGCTATCAGTTCCAGCACTCCTGGTGTCTGGCTTCTTAGAAGCTATTCTTTCCTGTGAGCCCTTTGCCATTTGTGCCCTGCTTATGGTCACACGGTAGACGTTCTCAAACTCTGAACTGGAAGCGTTCATCTCCGTGTGAAAATCGGCGTCGGACTTCCTTCTGTTTGTGGGGCTTTTTTTTTATTTTCCTTCTTCTTTCCTGGTTCATTTTGTAAATTGTTCTCTGTGATTCCCTCCAAAGCAAACTGATTTTACTGAACACACAGGCTCTTATTTGCACTGAGCTCTGGGTGTTTTTTTCCCATTTTAAACTAATCGTGACATCAAACCAAGCTCTATACCCAAATTTCAGCTTACTGTTCTTTTCTGTTCAGGAGTTAAGTTTTAAAAAAAATTGAATTTGACATCTTTGTAACAAGAAATAATGCTTTTACCTTTTTCAACATTAAAAGAACATTTAAAAAATGCCTTGATAACAATTAAATTTTTGGGCCAAAAATGTAATTTAGGCTAAAGAGCTAATTCATACAGACCATTACAGATAAAAAATAATTATTTCAATCACTGTTAATTTAATTCTGAGCCTTAAGGCCCATTGCCCTGCAGGTTTTAGTGGTTTCTCTCCTTCAACACACCTGACCTCACATCTTCACAAGTTCAGCAGTCCTGGACAGAGCTCAACAATTTAGAGGAGATCCATTTAACCTAAATCGGGTTTGTAGAGGCAGGGAAACCTCTAAAACCTGTAGGACAGCAGTCCTGGAGGCCTGGAGCTGCACATCCCTGATTTAATGTAACCGATTAGCTGTGGCATAAACCTTAGACATAAATGTTTTAAGTGCAAAAGCTTGCCTGAACAATACAAATACAGATCTTTACTAATATTCTAAGGAACAAACATTTCCAGTCCCAAGGAAAAGTCATCATCAAAGAAATTTGTATTCATGTGAAATAGCTCCAGCTCTGTTAAGAATATTCTAACAAGTCAAAAGTAATAAAACACTAATAAGTCCTACTTCACAATAACAGTTAACAAATGTTATGACTTGTTTCATGTGTGTATGTATTTACAAAACTGTTCATCTGGAAAAACATGTTTATAGAATGAGCATGGAAGAAATTAATCTATCTTTTATAAGTTATCATAATGTGTATTCAATAACAAATTAAAAACAATTAAATTGACTTAAAAAGATATAAAAAAATCATGTCAGGTTAGAAGGAGAGTAGTTTTTTCCACTCGCAGACACATGATGTGACTACTGAGCATGTGGATTAACACATTTCAGCAGGCATAAAAGCACAGCATGAGAACACCAGGAAGTGAGCGCATGTGTGTGTGTGTGTGTGTATCGAGACTGATCGGCGGTCTTCCTGAAACTTTGGTTCCCTTAGCAGAGAACCCTGCTGACTCTACACGAAAGGAATCCAGTGTGTATAGACTCCATTAAGGAGTCTATCTGTAATAACTGCAATATATGGCTGTTAACATGGTCCTGCAATTTACCAAAAGTTTTAAAAGTCTGTAGAGCTACAGCATTTAGCATCACTAATCACAAACACACTTTTGTTTTATTTCTGTGTGTTCGTTTTTGCTTTTTTTTTTTATTTTAAATAGCAAGATAGTTGCAAAATTTCGCCAATTCTTGAATCAGGAGAAAATTAACTTCTCCGTTTGTGGCAGATAAGTTCAACTTCTTGATCAAGGCTAATGCATTGTAGTCTGCGTATTTCAAATTTTACAATGTGTAGGGGTGGGCTCAGCCTTTGTTAACCTTATCTAAATCTCTTTCTGAGCTTTTACTCTGTAGGCTGATCTGTGGTCACAGGACTTTTTCATTGCTCCAAGATTTACCATGACATTTTTACACAGCTGAAAGCACCAGTCTAAAATCATTTATGGACATGTTTACTTTCAATTTGACGAGACAATACTGTAGATAATGTGTTTTTGCTTAAAAGTGAGGCATCTGGTTAGCTTAGACCATTCTTAGAAAACAATGTGAAACACACTATGTAAGATCAAACCAGGAAAAAGTGAAGTTACCTTGAGAGTTGCTACACCAGGGTGGGAAATCAACACTATCAACAGGTGGGTAAATATTGGCTGAGGTCAGGTTAGACTTTGTTTAACGTACGAACACACGCATTGTGGCTCATGTCAAACTATTTATTGAGGCAATTCAGTGGAATCGTCTAGTAAAGGTGGCAAACTGGCAAAGTATTCTGATTAGGGTTGTCAAAAGTATCGATACTCAAAAAAGTATCGATACTAAAATGTTGTATCCGGATACGATACTCATTTTCAAAAGTATCGATACCACCGCGCGAGCCCCTTCTCTCTGATTTATTTATGTATTTATTTACTTTGTTTATGATCATTAACAAGACGTTAGCCTTGAACTGTTATCTGCGGCTAATTGCTAATAACAACACGCTAACAGTAATCAAGTACATATCCAACTCCGCCCACATCCAATCGGCCATTTTGATTACGTCACCAAAAGGAAGATCCCAGGCAAGAAAATCCTAATTGCTTCATGGCAATATAGACAATAATTTAAAAATAGTTAAATGAATCTTTCAAACACTGAATTAAACTCTGTCCATAATATGATGTTAAAATAATGGATGTTAAATAGGTTTGTACAATAAGTCCAAACCCAAAAAATAAGTTTATAAGTTTATAATAAGAACCAATAAGTTTCACCCAAAAAATATTTATTTCTCACAATTATGAAGGCTGGAGGGTCAGGGTTAGGGTCAGGGTTAGGGTCAGGGTTAGGGTAAGGGTTATTAATACAGGCCACCAGTCACCATAACATCAGTTACAGGTCAGTTTGAAATGAAAGACACTAACCTGTCAAAATTCAGTTAAATTTTGGGGTCTTCGTTTTTATCCTTGTGGTATCGAAAATGGTATCGAGTATCGAGTATTTTCCTGAGTATCGGTATCGAGTTGAAAATTTTAGTATCATGACAACCCTACTTCTGATGCCCAGTAAACTGCAGATCACCTGGTAGCATTTCATGCCCGTCTCAAAACCCCAGTTTGTTTCTGGGCCCTCCCTTTCCTCATTTCCTGTATGGCCAATTAACAACCAAAGTAATTGTTAAAAAAAAATCTAAATAATATCCAAGGTCCAGCGCGCAGAATGTTACACACAACCGGTGGTAGTGGGAAGCCCAAGTTCAAGGACAGCTATCCTGGGGTAAATAGACACACACAAAAAAACACAACTAAAAAACATCAAACATAACTGAAATATGTGACGAAGAACATTCCAGAAGAAAGCACAACATATTTTCCCTCTAATGTATGATTAATAAACTATACACAAACTATGTGTTGTTGTGGCAGATCTTTGATTTAACTGGGAATCGGTTTTTAATCGACATTTCACAGGAACTGTTCCGTTCACACATAGAGCAGTTGCGCATTTAACTTACCACGAGTAGTGTTTCGACAGAGAAGGGTTTTAAAAACTTGTTTTACTACATAACAGAGTCCGTGAGCGAGTCTCACCGAAAACTACCGCACAAACCAACCGGCAGTGTGCAAGCGGTGGGAGGTTTCATGAGGCAAAGCTGAAGATTTTAGTAACGTATACTGAGATTGGAGCATTGTTTCTGATGGCCATGTCTGAATAACAACCCATTAATGGTCCCGTTTGTCATATCTGTTGTAAAAGCAGACAACATGATAATAATGGATCAATTCTAAATAATAGGGGTTTCAGGGTTTGAGAGCTTTGGGATTGTTTCAGTCAGTTGATTATTGTTTTGGGGGGTTGGGGGGGGGGTGAGGTCAAGTGGTTTCATTGAACTAGGGGAAACAGCTTTGGTCAGAATCTGAATCATGGTCCTGATACATCACGTGACAAAGTGTGTTACATGTATTAGGGTGTCAGCCATACAGTAAATAACTTAATTTCATAGTTTCAAGACGTGCATTACAGTCATGACAGTAGGCTTCCAGCAAATATCAAAAGAGGAACTTGACATTTAGGGTTACAAGACGCAGCTTCGGAGCCAGAAAGTTTCCTGTATGTCGAGTTCTCTCAAGATAAAAGAAAAATCTACAACCCTGGATTGACTTGAGCACAGACAGAAGTTGGAGGTTGCTGGGAATTATTTGCTATAACAATAGTCTCAGGACACTAAGTGGTTTAGCATGGGTCATGCTGAAACCCTCTTAAATGTGGGCTATAATGCAGGGAGAAATGCAATAAAATCCAGGGATGGAGGTAGCGTTATACAGTTATGCTGGGAGCTAGATGGCTAAGCTAACCAGCTAGCTCTCAGGTTGGCTAACTTTGTGCCATCTGCCAAAAGCTGCTGGCATCATTTTAAGACACTGACACTTTGGGTTAAGGTGCCTTGTAAGTTCTACTTGCTTTGTCATTTGAGCGGGGGGGGGGAAATAAAGAGCAGAGAAAAACCAAAACAAAATTCAGCTGCCACATCATGGAAAACTCACCCATTCCCTTTCTTCGCGAGGTCTCGCCACCGAAATGTTGGGAATTTTTTTTTTCTCGTCCAGCAGCCTCACCGCTAGCTAGCTAGCTTACTAGCCAGGTAGATGAGTCCAATCGACCGCAATGTTTTTTTTCTTTTTTTGGTCAATTCACAGCCGAAAAAATGAAGTCAGGTGAGCTTTATATCCATTCGTTTAAGCCCCCAACGGCTGCGACAGCGTCGGTGGCAGTCCCCTCTATCCTCCCTTGAAGATTACTGCGCAGGAAGTTAGCCAGGAGTCCCCACCTTTCTTGGACTCGCCTCCACCACGGCTCGCGGATGCTTGCCCGTCCGCCCTGCCACCAAAATCCAAAAACAGCCGGAAACTTCGCGAGGTTTCGGGCGGGAAAATCCCGCGAGAGGAATCTTTCAATGGAATGTTGATTCTATTTAACTTACAGTACGCGTCATAACACTTGGCGAGCAGGGCCCGTGTGCGCGTGCGCGTGCGTGAGACTACATTGACTCAAGCTTTACGTTTTCTGACATTTCTATGAAAGACAGCTTCCTTTTTTGGGGGGACTCACCTGTTAATATGTTAGTGATATGTATCTTTTTTTCAGTTTGGTACTTTTAAAATTGTATTCAGCCAGAATAGACACTTTTCTTTTCTTTTTTAGGTCACTTCACTGGTCATCCTTCCTCCTTTTTGACCCTTCTCTCTAGGCCACAGAACTGATTCATTCATATATATGTTTTAAATACCACCTCATGTATTTTTGGCAGTTTGATTCAAAAAGTTTTCTTGCATTGACAGGAATGTTTCAGAAAAATTGTGCCTTTTTCATCAGTATTTTTGACTATAAAATAATTCCTGTGGTTCCTTACTATTAGAATATAAAAAAACTAAATTGAAAATCTGAAAATGTGTTTAATTCCTGCCTGTGCTGCATTGAAAAGTCGCTGTGCCACTTGTTCCGGCTCCAGTTGGCAAAGGTCCCACTGTCAATTATCCAGCAGCTTATCTCTTCGCCACCAGAGAATGAAAAAAGGAAGTAGTTGAGTTTTCAAATCCATCCTCTGAGGAGCCATTTAAGCCAAATGTCAACACGCTTTCAAAAGGTAGTGCTGTACACAAATTCGATGCAAATGCGTTAGACCATTGAAGTACAGCGCACACACACACACACACACACACACACACACACACACACACACACAC